ACGCATTTTTTTTTTTTTTTTTTTTTTTTTTTTTGGCAACATCAGCTTCGTTGCGTAAAATTGAAGCGGCGAAAATGTGATGTTTGTGTGTCAGGCAGAAAAAATAAAACAAAGCAAATGTCGTGTCCGTGGTTGCAACTGTATTAGCTTATTTACGCATTTAATCCTTTTTGGAAGTTTATATGAGCTTGCTTTTAAGTTCCCCCCAATTGGTAGAAAAATATTGCTTTCAATATGATTGCTTTATCCATGTGACAAAGCATCCACTTTGCTTTTCCCTGCTACTACTTTACTCTCATGCCATTTGGCGCATATGTGAGGGGGAAGAGGACAAAAGGGGCCTTAAAAATGTGAAAATAAGTGAGACACGTGCGCAGATGTATGAAGGAGGATAGAAGGACGAATGCGCACTGTGTAGGTACGCAATTAAGGCACACACGCGCTTAAATCACGCAATAGTACAGTCGTGCACTTGTGCGTGCGTGTAGGAGGACTGTTTGTTTGTCGCCTAGTAAGGCCACCATAAATACTTTTATTACCCCGTTGCAGGGGAAAGAATCCATGTGCATTAATTCTACGCTGATCAGCGTGGCTATCCTGGAGAGCATCTCCGTTCTGTTCACAAGGAAACTCACAACCTTGTCTGCCCCATTTTACGCTCATCACCAAATTTGATACAAACAAAATGGTAGAAGAGCCGTTTTTTTATTCCGTTCAGACCATCGCTCACCTCGTACCCCTACTTGTTAATGCTGACCTTCCCTTTTTCCTTTTCTCTCCCCATTGGCCATATAGACTTAAAGTAGATCGTTGTGCACATTCCTGCACAGTTGAGTACCCATCAGATGGCAGTTCATTCATAAGGGTGCATAATTTTTCTATCAGTTTGTCAATAATGCCTTTTCTACCATCGGTGCGGGCGTGGCATGATTATTTACGTCGTGTGTTTTAACTTTCTCATGTTGCATTCACTACCTCATTTTTGCTCATTCCGAGGTCGTAGCAAATGGGCACCAATTTGTATGTCCGTGACGATGTAGACTGATTGGTGATCTCTTCACAAAGAAGAGCAACTTGGGGGGTGGCGACGGGCGTTTCTCTTTCAACACAATGGACGTCCACGAAGCAGCCGCCAATTTACTTATCCCCACTTGGCATACCTTCTGCTCCCTTTTATGTTAAACTTGGTATGATATAAAAAATTTGAAGTTTGTATAAAAGGCAGTTATGGACAGTTGAGTTGAGAAGCTCTCTTGTCCAACTCTTTTTTTTTTTTTTTTTTTTGCGTTCCACAATTCCGTGCGTCGTCCTGCGTT